ATAATAAAACAGAATTTAAAAGCTCTAACTTCAATAAAATTTAACACATCCAAATCTTTGTGTGCGTGTGTGTGTGTGTGTGTGTGTGTGTGTGTAACGACTATACGCATGATTTAATAATGAAATTTCTACTAAACAGGTTTTTCACACTAAGAATAAAAAGTTCATGATAGAATCAGATATATGCGCTTATTAATTTTGCAAAAATTTCATTATCACATACCTATTAAGAGATATCTTATCCCATAAAGTGATTTTACCCTATCATTTCATCATATCGTTGAATATATACCATTTAAAATTTTTTCAGTCACACAATATAAACGCAACATGCAAAGTATTTTATACGCCAAGATGTTTTTACAATGCCTTGCAGTGTAATATTATATTGTGTAATATAAAGTTCTTAATATAAATAAACATTAATATACATGTGTAATAATATTTGATGTAGACAAAACAGACAAATAAATAGAAAAAACGAAAAAGTGCGCTCATGCATATGCGAGAAAGAGAGAGAGAGAGAGAGAGAGAGAGAGAGAGAGAGAGAAAGAGAGAGAGAGAGAGAGAGAGAGATAAGACGAGAAAAAGCGAAAGGATGAAAAATGGGAAGAGCATGTGACAGAGAAGAAAGGGAGAGAAAAAGGAAGGGCAAGTGACAGGGAGGAATCTAACAATGCGAGTTTTCATAATAAAAAAATATAAATTTATGAAGGACGTTACATAAACTTATTGTAAGATAAAAATACAAAATAAAATATTAGGTGTACAACTTTGCTTCCGCCGTTTTTTTCCGAAAGTCGAGGCTTTATTGTAAAAAACTGGTTATACATTTATGATTCAAAGTTGTCCATCGCTGGCCACTACTTTCTCCCATCTTTCGGGTAGCGTACGAATCCCGCGTCGAAAAAACTGGTCATCTTTTAAGGCTATCCACGAATCGATCCAATTTTTTACTTCTTCATAAGACCGGAAGTGCTGGTCAGCCAGGCCGTGTGCCATTGATCGAAACAAGTGATAGTCAGAGGGAGCAACGTCTGGAGAATACGGCGGATGAGGGAGGACTTCCCATTTCAACGTTTCCAAGTATGTCTTGACCACTTTCGCAACTTGGGGTCGAGCATTGTCGTGCTGCAAAATCACTTTATCGTGTCTCTCGTTGTATTGCGGCCGTTTGTCTTTCAATGTTCGGCTCAAACGCATTAATTGCATTCGATACCGATCGCCTGTGATTGTTTCAGTCGGTTTTAACAGTTCATAATATACTACGCCGAGCTGGTCCCATCAAATACAGAGCATGACCTTGGACGTCAAAATCATCGTTCTTGAAGCGTTGAAATCACTCATGACACGTTCTTTCACTAATAGCGGCCTCACCATAAGTATTTGAGAGCATTCGATGAATCGCAGACTTTTTCTTTTCTTTTCTTTTCTTCATATTGAAGCAAAAAATTAAAACCTCCCGCAAATGACGAGAATTTGGTTCGTAAACTGACATTTTCAATCGAGAATAACTTTATGATGCAGACACAAATCGACTAATGTTTTTATGGGATTATGTTGACAGATGCCCAAGTTTATTGTATGACGTCTATGATCTATTTATTTCGATCACCACTTACTAAAGCCATCTATAGGAAAACGTCGGAAGCAAAGTACACCTAATAGAAAAATTCGGCTATGAAATGAGTGGCTTAGAAATGCATATTGGTTTTGTATTTCGATTTTTTCGGAAATTTTTAAAAGTTCAAAATAGTGAATTTAATATGCTGGACAGAATTTCCTTAAAAAAATAATTTAATTATCATTTAACTCGATTTTAGGAAATTTTTATTTGCGATATATATGTAAAACGTCAAATTTCTACTTTCGCTTTATTTAAGAACTTTATTAATACTATACAAACACTAATTTCCAAACTGACTTTCAAATTTTGAATCCTATGTGAATTAAATTTTCATTTATTGAAAGTTATTACTCTTTTGAAATTTGACTTTTTCAGGTTACACATTCAAAAGTCAGTGATATCAAGATTCTAAAACCAAATTTTATGATAATCAAATTACTTTTTTAAATTTCAATTTAAAAATTCTCAAGCCAGAAATATAATGATCCCAATCAAATATAATGATCCCAAAAATTCTTAGAAAACAAAGTCTTCCTTAAAAATAAGTTATTGTAATAAATTTTACAAAATGTTGTCCGATATATACATGTCCCTGTGTTAT